GAGAGACAGACAGAACAGAAAGAGAAACACGGCTTCACTCAGCATCATGAAACCATCAATCTTTCAACTAAACCTGATGAAACTGCTGAAATCCTGAGTGTTCCTGTTTTATTGAGAATGTTGCATCTTAATCTCAATGATGAACTGCATTGTTAGACACAACCAATTAACTGTACAACAACGAAAACTGTCAATCAGAAGTATATTTAACTCCGCCCATGCACTTGCATTCCTTACAGTACATAAAGTATTTATAAACCTGGACTTTTCACAAAATGTTCACTTCTGTGTAGAAGAATATAAATATAGCAATGTATAGTGTCGACTGCAGTGCATGATGGTGATTGATAATTTGTGTTACAGAGAATTAGATGTAATCTTTAATGGCTTGTTGGTTTGTATCTTATGAATATGTATACATGTTTCAGTTGTGGTTAAGCTATTGTTTTCTTAGTACTGTATGTTTGGACAGTAATTATCTTTGTTGAATTTAAAGCACTATAATGACTAAATTAATATCTTATGTTGTGCCTTTTCTTCTGTTTTCAGGCAAACAGGCAAAACTATTCTTTATTGAAAGAAAGAAATTGAACTCCATGACATTTCCTCATCTCTTTTAACAGGTTGGGTTTTTCATTTGTTTTCCTGGAGCCATACTATTTTTAGGGTAACAACGTTCTACAAGAACACCATGACATAAAAAAACAACACAGACACAATTCAAGCATCAATGGTCAGGTTGTGACATGCAAAGCCAAGGAAATAAATCTGACTGGTGGTAGTTTAACTTTAAAATAAAACATTGTTTGCTGAATCTGAATAAATAAATGTCATGTGGCCTTCAGGAAGAACTGTGTGGCTGTAAGGTTGCAAGAACGTTGTGCAACATGCAACTCACCACTGTGTTGGTTGCATGTGTACCTGGTGGCAGTGTGTCGCGCATGCCGAGTAGCGGTGTGGTTCTGATTACGTTGATCGTGCAGCCCGTGTTGCGGCTCATGCGCTCCACGGTCGCTGACAGGTTGTGGAGCTGCTCCTGCAGCTCGTACAGCAGAGCCGCATGCACGTGGAGCAATGTGTTGGCCTCAGTGTAACGCAACTCCAGAGAATGCAACCGCTGGTCAAAGGTCGAGTTTAAGCCAACACTTTCTCCATCCTGAAAGAGAGAAAGAGAGAAGAAATGAGACTGTATAAGGTGCTGGTGAGATTTGCCATTGTTCTCCTAAAAGAAATAAATTGTAAGGTTAAGACTGTTTTAAGAAAATGCACACTGAAAGTGTCTTATCTGTTATTTAATATATATAGAAGATGGCTACTGCTGCTCACCAGTTACCTTTTAGTAAGTAAGTACTCTTCTTTTTGTCATCATCTTGGCAGGATTTAGCTATTGCCTCATTTATGTGGACTAATATACTGAAATACCAAGATGGTCATCCAAATCTATAGTTTTCAATGACAGCAAACACAAGTCCAAGTACATTTAGACTTTCTGTTAAACTTCCTGCAGTAAACAATGGCACCAAATCACAAAGTGAGGTTACAGTCTTAGCTTGATTTTGAGCTGGGGCAAGTCCAGAGACACTGCAGCCCAGAAACATACTCTTTGGGTCACGCAGACACAGAAGGATATGGGGCCCATGCAGCTAATCCTGTTAGCATTCAGGGTTAAGGAGGGCTTAGTGGGTGTCAAGACAGAGAGATAAAGGCAGGCAGAGAGATAACAAGAGGCAGAGATAAACAATGGCGTGAAAGAGAAAGAAGGGCATTTTACTTGCCTGAATAATCCATTAACCTATTTTGAAAATGTATGTATTAACAAGCAATATTATCACTGTTAGTGTTTTGTAACATTGCCTGAATTGTTTATATTCTATTGATGAACCTTTTGATGATCAACCCCACATATCCCATGGTGGTGCTATAAGCTCAGTTTATGCACAGCCTCATGACTGTTTAGCATAAACAAAGCTAAAGCTAGCCAGCTATTTTTTTTTTTTTTTCCTCCAGTGTCTCGTTTTTCTGCACATTCATGAAGCAGATTCAAAAAGTCAAGGGATACATGCAATATTTTCAACTTGTGCAAACATGTCTTAACATCAGTTTCTGGCACCATGAATGAATTTGCCTATACAATTGAACACAGTGTTGTTCCAGAATTTTTAAAGTATGTTCCTTTAAGAAAGTTAAGCTGCCATTTCATTGTGTATATACACATACGTATGTATAGTAAACTACTGAACAGCAGTGTACCTGCATCTCCAGGGCCTTGACTCGATGCCGGTGGTTCCTCAGCTCCTCCTGCAGCTCTGACATTGTCTCTCTTAGCTCCTCCAGTTGCTCCTTTCTGTTCTGGTTCTCGTGAAGCCAATTTGAAACATCGTCTGTACAGCGGAACATATCTGGGCAACGCTTCTGTGACGTTCCCACCGGCACTGGAGGCAGTGTTGCCATCAGCCGGCACTGGCCATTAGACATCAGCTGGCTGCTGTACTCACCGCACTGTGCTGATGAACTACCAATAGTTCGGTTGAAGGTTTGGTTGGCACTGTTGGTAACACCAGTGTTGCCACTGCGTATCACCGGCGGGAAGTCTGGGTGCAGGTCATGGTCTGTTTCCAAGAGGGAGGAAGGAGGATGCCAATCAGCATCCTCATAGTTATCCTTGTTGTTGTCGTCCCAGTTTGTTTCAGTGCTTGTGTCCGGTACATCCCTGATTGTTTGCATATCAATGTCCAGTACATCCCCGTTTGTTTCTGTGAGGGTATTGGGGTGTACATCCTCATCATGTCCAACATCTGGGTGTTCATCAGAGGCTGTACATGGGTAACACCAGCCGATCAGTAAGACAAAAGTCACTAAAACGGGTTGCAACTTCATCCTGAACATTCAATAACTCCCTGGTCTTGGAGTGAAGTCACTGGTCATCTGTTTCAATTGTCGGATCAACATCAGGGTCAGATGTCCACAGCAAGATGAGGTTCAGACTTTGCCCAAAGTTAGGCTTGGGGCTTAGATTCAGGATGGGGAAGAACAGTCCAAAACAAAGTGAAAGAAAGTCCAGATGAAGTTTTGTTCAGATGAAATTTTTGTCCATGAATCGTGGCTTAAACACAAACAAAACATCCCAGCCAGGTTTCTATGAAAGTGCTCAACCTGGTCCAATGGCACAAGGGCTTGTGCTTTAACATTCATTGGATTGGTAGCAGAAGAGATCCCTGAAAGTCTTGCTACTTTTTAGTCCAGAAAACAGGGTTACAATCAGTGAGAGAAACTATTTTCCATCAATGTGATGATTAACTGAACAAATCCTGAAAACCCCCGAAAGAAACTGAGGTGAAGAGAGTAGTTTTAAGATGATACTGGTCCTTTAAAAACAGATATAAATCCAACCCAGATCCTACCGAGTTCCCAGCCAAGTCAGACTAAAGGTTCAGAGCTGAAGGTTGAATCTGCCGCTGTGGTTGGAAACAAAATGTTGAAGAGCTGAAACAAGTCCAGATGAAGTTTGCAAAAGCTTTTGCCCATGAATTTGTGCCACAAACACAGACATATTGAACCTCAAAGCTGTCTAATTCTTTACTATCTTTAGTAGGGGCAAATTTGCTATAGGTTTTGGGTAAATTAACACTTCTCTTTTCTTGTCTCCATGTCCTTCTTCTTAAATGCACCTTCAAGAAAGTCTTGAACTAAAGGCAGCCAATGAGCTAAAACATCAACAACGTCTGTCATGATGCTATGGTTAATATGAATTTTATATTTAAGTGGAAACACAATATTAGCTATTTCACCTACCTGCATGTCATCCTGTATGTCCCAGCATCCCAGTGCTAAATTCACCTCAATGGAAAAGCATCAGGACAACCAGGAGACTGTTGGTCAGTGTGTATGTCTGTGTCTGTGTTTGTGTGTGGGTATGTGTGTGTGTGTATGACATCTTATCCTGATAATCCTCTAAGGGGATTGGCAGAGAAGGTAGACTGGTAGGTAATAGATTACAAATAATGGGATTTATGAAATGCAACTCGAGTTACAGTAACTTACATAACATAGTTAACTAGAATATTTGCATTTCTTGAAGATCTGAAGATACCACCCACAATTTTAACTATCACAGAATTAGTGTCAAATTATTAGACTTCACTAAAACATATGGAATAAAGTAAGTAGTAATTAGTAATTACAATATCATTATTGTTTCTATTATATAAATCAAATAGACAGTACTGACCTCTGGCCTGTATCTACAGCACTGACCTCTGTCCTGTATTCATCTTGACTTCTGTAACTTGTATTATTGTCAAATGTACTCAATCAAATCTTTAGTCTGTCTCAGAAATACAATTAGTGTCATATTGTTGGACTTCACTAAAGCTTATGAAATTAAGTTAATAATATATCATTGTTTTTTAATATTATATGAATCGAATAGTACAGACCGCTGACCTGAATCTACAACACTGACCTATGCTCTGTATCTACAGCACATACATATGCCCTGTATCTCTAGCACTGACCTCTGTCCTGTATCTGCCCTGTCCTCTGTCATTCAAATCTTTCTTTCTTTCTTTCTTTTCTGTCTTTATTAATGGTCTTTAAAAGACAAATAGTGTCATTTTATTGGATTTCACTAAAACTTATAAAATCAAGTTAATATTAATAATTATTGTTACTAATTTATATCAAATAGAGGTATTAGAACCGTGATCTGATTACATGTTTAAGGATGTGCATCTGAAATTCATGGTCACACACTGCAGATTTGATTTGTCTATATCAAACTGCACTTTAGCTTCAGCGAAACGTTTGGCACATTTGGCTGTTTATTGATGTTTTGACTAAACAGTGACCATTTTAATAAATGCACTTAATGTAAGGTGCTGCTTTAACTCTAATGGTGATTCCAGTGCTACAGCAAAATAGTTTTATTATGAAAATATTTTTTGCAGAACTGTATTTGTTCAGTGTCGACAAAAGCACAAAAAGACTTATTTAATTTAACATTTAATTGCAGGAGTTGGTGAATAAAGTGCCTCCAGTTCTGATACTGTGTCGATAATGTCATTGGTTTGACTTTTGTTTTATCGTGCCATTACCGCTTTATATTCTTCCAGAACATACCAGAATGTCTTTGTCTGTGTGTGTGTGTGTAATGGATTGAATGGAGGTTCAAGGCTGCGGGAGCCCTCTAATGGGTTTATATTTACCTGCCTGCCTCAGTTTGTTCCATTAGAAAAACAGAAAAAAAAGAAAGGACAGACTGAGGAACATATAGCTTTAAAAACAGACTTAGAGCGCTGACGTTTTAAAAAGAGGTTCTATGTGGATGTAGAGCCATATAAAAAAGGTTTTTAAATATCTCCAAAGGTGGATCAATAAAGGTACATCTTATCAT